TAACAGACGATCGGTACAGGTCGCGCCCCCTGGCAACGGAAACCTGCATCCGCCTCATCGAGAAAAGACAAATTTGCGTGTGTTTGTACAAATCGCAGAAACTCAAGTAAATAAAGATCGCACCCTAAATATATAGAGAACCTAAAATATTGTATACCTACTTATAGTTCGCCTCGTTTTTTTACTGGAATGAATGCGCTTCCGTAATACAAAACCTGGCGCACCACGGCGTGTCGCCCCTAGCACAGCGAAGTTCTAAAATGTTCGTCTGCTAAAGAAGCAGACGAGCTTTCCGACAACAATGGCGCTCAATCTTTTTGACCATGACTTGGAGTTGGCTCTATTCAGCAAAAGCAATTTAAAAAAAGTGATTTTGTACGACTGCCCAGAATCGAAACACTATCTAAACAATGCGCCGATGTCATTGCCCATGCTTTGCGGTTTAATTGAGGTATAAGGCAAAGCGAAAGCCTCCTGCACCATTCGTTGCTGACTAACGCGCTCGATATTGCAGCTAGGACGACATATTATTTCCAAAGCGAGCGGCGCTCACTCGCTGGGGCGCCGCCATGTTTCCCCGCATCCCTACTGAGCCCCCCAGTCACGTGCTTTCAAAATCCCTCTCCTAGGTACTGCGGCTAACTTTAGCCGCGGTTAGTGCTTCGAGCAAACGGGCCCTGGTGCTCTCCTGCTAGTGTCATTGACCGCGGCCTCGCGACACCAGCGAACTATAGATGGCGCGCTGGTCAGGTAATATGGCGGACGAAAGGAAGTCCTTTTCGTCGTTCAGCAGGCGGACCACCAAAATTTCTTGCACTACAGCATAGAATCGTCGTATATGAAAGCAAAATCAATTTTTCGACGGTAAAATCCTTCTAGTCAGTGTGTAGAAGCGACACGGCATAAGCTAAAAATAAATTAGTGGAAAAAAATGTTTGTTTCTATGCTGCCTACGAGAACCAAAGAGCGATAGCATACGACAGAGTCGAAACCAACGTTGTCGAAACGACCTCCCCTCCTGAGCTTCTCGGCGTTGCCGCTACGAGGCGTCGATTTCGCTGGAGTCGCCAATAGGGGGTATTCACTGGACGCCATATTTGAGTGCAATGTTTACAGTGCATGCTCAAAAATGAGCTCAAATTAATAGGCAGATAAGAGCAGCAATCTTAAGGAAGCGGAATGTACTTGGCGAAAGAACTTCGGAAGCTCGCCATCAGCACGCGCTCAGCAGTCGCGCACACAGCGATGGTAGCCAGTGTATACTTTTTATAGTGGAGTCTTGCAGCACTTCGCACGCAAGTCTGGATTTTCAGTATTCCGCTTCTTATTTTAGTGCAGGTTTTCTTTACTTGAGCGAAGGGAGCAGCTTATTTTCTCGGATGGACGAGAACAGACACGAGAGAACTGAAGCAATGAAACGAGAGACCTAATTGCACGGTGAGTAATAATGATGTCGAATACGCAAGCATATATATATATATATATATATATACAGGGTGTTTTTTTAAGCTTAACAGATTTGTTTAAAAAAAGCCGTGAAAGCTACGCTTATGCCTCTTGTGGATGTAATTGTAACGATCAGTCGGCTAATTAATTAAAACTCGTTAACTAACTTTTTAATTAATGAAAATAGACATATGGTTCCAATTAGAAACTTGCTCAGCATCATCGAAAACCACTAAATCAGTAATTTTCAGAAAGACATTGAGCGTGTGAGAAGCGTAGTAGTGCACTAAATTTGCCACTCGTGGGAGCAGGTACAAAGTTAGCGGTTGCGATAAGGCGCCCTGCGCGATTTTTCCGTCTCTTATCTAGCCCCAGCCTTGTACCTGCTCCACGAGTGGTAACTTTAGTACAATACTACACTTCTCACCAGCCAAAAGTCTTTCTGAAAATGACTGATTTAGTGGTTTTTGATGATGCTGAGCAAGTTTCTAATTGGAACCATATGTCTATTTTCATTAATTGAAAAGTTAATTAACGAACTTTAATTAACTAAACGACTGATCGTTACGGTTAGCCCCCTATAATATGTCCCCCTGGCCGTATAACTTACCTCCACAAGCGGCACAAGTGTAACTCTCACGGCTTTTTTTGTTAAACAAATCAGTTAAGCTTAAAAAAAAACACCCTGGATATATATATATATATATATATATATATATATATATATATATATATATATATATATATATATATATATATACATATATATATAAGTGCATTTGTCACCAAGTGTGTTCACACGGGCGGTGTGTTACGGCGTGCGGTTGGCACCATATATGTTCCCCCTTTTCGTGCCACTGAATTTCAGTGAAAGTATGAATATATATGGGTTCGTGTTTTGCAAATTCACATTATAAGAGGTTATAATTAAAAAAAAATATGTGCCTTAACTTGGTACGAAGGCATCGTTATTTTTCAATGAAAATAACGATGCTTATGGGCCACTGGAAAAATTTCTTGAAACAAAAAAATACGTATAATGGGAGGAAACTGAAATTTATGTCATTCAGCTCCTTTCTTTTGTTTCTTGAACTTAAGGTCCCTAACGCTCGCAATACCGTCTTTTCTACATACAAAAAACACACACATACCAACTTTAGCCACAGGAAAATTATGGCTTTTGAAAAACTTTTAGTAAAGACGAGTTTGCTTTCTGGACTTGAAAAATAGTGACTAACCCACTTCATTGATTTTTAATATTTGTTACACGTGGATTGGATGAAATTGACCATCGCTGTACACATCACTCTACTGTCTTTTGGTGTTGTTTCACAATTGATGTTGATAAAAAAAAAAACTCTTTTCATTGCAATTCTTTGTCGCTTGTCGTGTATTGCCATACATACTTTGAAAGTGCAATATTTAACTCTAGTAAAAAAATGTGCATAACTGAAAAGAAGTGTTACAAAAAATAAACGTCAAACGAAAGAAACAAGACATGTCAGAGGGCAGAAACGTAAATAACGACAAGTTTTTGTCGCCATATTTCCGGAAGGGTAATGGTCTCTTAAATTTGTTTCCTCTTTCAACATTATGCAACCCAACGTCTTCCTTCCTCAATAAAATAGAGACCGTGACACTGTCGTGACCGGGTCAGAGCTGTCGGCATCGCACGGATATGCCACCCTCAAGGTTTCTGGATGTCATACGGAGACCCCACAGTTTTTTCCGGGCTCCGTCGGAGTACAAATTTGTAAGGGCGACAGATCGTTTTTATACTTGATCTTCCTCGGGCTTCTTGAGGTTTGCTCCCACACACCCAGGCTGCTCAATGGAGAAAAGCCGAACTTCGGCCAAGTTTGGTAATTATAGTTGCCATACTTCGGCTTAGTAAGTTTCTGCCCCAAGGCCAAAGTACTTATCAGTGGCACTAACTAGACTGAAAAGTGCCAAGTTTGCCTTTTTCTGGTTCACCAGATCATTGCAAACGTGACAGACATGGGTCAAAGATGCCATGTGATGACAAAACAAATGGTCAGTGAAGCCTGATCCTGGCCTTCACTCTAAAGTTGAGGCCCAAAGTGGAGTCGAACACCATTTGAACACCATGGAAGTGTGGTGGACCATCAAGAAGGTATGATGACTCATCAAAAAGGTCTGATGATTTTTCAAGAAACGAAATGGAGCATAAAACATGTCTGATGGAACATTACCCATTTGTGATGGTCTTTTTGGAACGGGTGTGCAGCAGAAGGTAGAAGAACGAGATCCGGACTTTAAGCATTTCCGGTTTAATAATTTTGATAATGACACATTTAATAAACCCCAGGAAGACACTCCTTGAAAGAATTAGGGATGCCATTTTTATTCAAATGCCTTATAGAGGCGGGCCCAAATAAAACAAAAGTGTTGCTTTTTGGTTATCCACCCGCAATGTAGAGGAGAAAAGGTAGAGACCATCAATAAAATGAACCTCTGTTGCCCTCTTCAGTTTTTTTTCTACCTTCTGTTTTTTACAGTTACCACCTGAAAATTTTATTTGAACAATAAACTTTCCAGCATGCCATGGCGCAAATATTTCAACACTTGGATAAAAAACGTGCATTTTGTTGGTGTTTCTTTTTTATTTCTAATATTATGACAGATGTTTGTTATATCCTCGAAATTTATTTGTTTCTTAAGAATGTCAGAACACAACTGTCTAAAAGAATATGTAGATAATTTAGTGCTTTAATATTTTTGGCATATACAGTGCCCTTTTATTACGATAATATTCCTGTGTTGTACTGCTTTTGATGCCCCAACGTCTTGTTTCTAGGCACTAGATTCAATATTGAGAAAACCTCACGAAAGTCTCGCGGGTTTTCTAGTGCACCGTTCTTTGAACACCCTTCCAACGCTCTCACGAACAAAAACTTTAACTACCATAGCGTGGTTCTACAAGACATGGAGGCACACACCCCTCAGCAGCATAAGCAAAAATAGCTTTCCATAGCAATTAGCAAGCAACATCAGTACCACTTGTTAGTAAACTTGTTTTTGATGCGTCGCCAGTTGGTCATTTTTCGCGTGAAAACACTTGCTGATACATTATGTCTTGCGTGTTCCACCATTATCGTTCTTTGGAATTTGGTTTAGTGTCACTTCACTTTAATCGTTAACAAGGACGATTTGATATTCCACCTATGTGTACTGGCTATCAGTTATGGACCATTCTTCCGCTGCACTGACTTTCAATTCAAATTTTCAATTCCACATGTAGAAAGGTGCAACAAAGTATTGTGGTTGGCGTACGACGCTTGAAGATAGAAATCCGAAACAGTATTTCTCGCCGAGGTGTCCATGACAGAAAGGAAAGCTGCCCCCTAAACTTGGCACCTTCATCGATGTAACCCAATACCACCCAGAAGACAAGGCGGAGTTGTCCACCACTTTTGGTATCTCTCGTCCAGCTTTAGTGTGTTGGCCGCGTGGTGCGGCCACTAACGATGGCGTCATGAACAGGCCTCGTCTTCTAGGTGGTATAGTGTCAGCAGAGAACTGGTGATGGTGCGCTACTCTATGTGGGTGTGGTTGCAGACCACGGTGGTCGGGTCGTAGTGGCAGTTGAGGGTCTTGTTCAGGTAGGCCGCCATGCAGTCTCCTCCCTGTCTACCGAACCGGTCGATCTCGTTGAGGACCAGGTTGTCCGCTTCGTACCCCTTGCCCTGGATTTCTTCCCGGCACTCGCTGAACGCCTCGGAGAGTTCGTAGGCCTTGGCGTCTTGCTGGCAGAGGAAGACCGCCTCGTAGTTACCCTGGCACGTAAAGTACCTGCGGAAAGCACCGAAATGAGTAATCTGCTCTGTGCTACGCCCTTATAACTAGATGCGATTGATATCTCTAATGGTGTGTCTAAAGAGCGCGGTGGATGCTTGGAGTAATTGAATTCGCAAGCCAAAAGTGGCAAAGATGACGTTCTGGCATTGCCCTTACGCTTCCTTTTGAAAGAATTATTTCTATAACACATACTAAAAACTTTGTCAACTAACCCTGTACCTTACGACGTTTTTTACCTTGACCAAAAATATATCTTATACAAGTTGTGGCCGGAGAAGCAGTGCGACCGAGATTTTTCTGAAAATGTTTTGGGATGTGAGATTTTTCTTTAAAAATTGGTTTGTATGTAATGGGCAGTTGTGGTAATTCTATTTCAATGAACCAATGTCGTAAATTCAAATATATTTTATGTCGTATAACAAACACTGTTTCTACGTTTGTTTGTCACGTAAACGCATTAAATTTGTATTTTTATTCAAAACAATATGCCACCAAAGATATGACGTGTGATAAAAATAAATGTTTTGTTTTGGTTGGAACAGAGAGTGCCATCGCAGTCTTAGCATGCAATGAAGAATTTCGCTTTGCCGTTGAGCAAATGTCATCGTCACTGAGTCTCCATCCAGAGAGCGACTGATCTTTTCGTTTAGGTGCTACAGTTTTACATACCGCAGCTGCTATTTACCACGTTGTTTCTTCTCAGTGAACATGCAGTACATGATTCTTCAGACATCCTCATTTTTTCCAGCAGGGCTACTAGCTCTGCAGTTCTAGTCACTGACAACTTGAAGCCGATTCCCACCATGCATTTTTGCTTCTGCCACCTCAAAGGCAGACAAGAGTTGCCAAATAGCAACTTTAAGACATGAACTATCTTTTCTTGAACCCATTCTCGATTGCGTCGTGCCACAAGGAACAGTCAAAAACGCCCATTCTCTTGAGGTAGCTATAGAAATCTACGACCGATTCTAAGCACGATTACAGCAGTCTACGATATCTCTGGCAGACTGCGCGTTGTGTGACATATGGCACAGACACAAGCTCAAATAATTTAAACAAAACATGCGATAAAACTGAACTTTCTATGCCCTAAAAAAATATAAACGAAGAGCTTAAAAATTATTTTAGTAAGTTACATTAGCAGATTATTTAAAGGGCTAAGAAGTATGACGGAAATAGCTTATGTAAGTGGCAAACTCAAAAACCAAACACCTTTACAGTTAAAGCCCTATAATGCATGGACCGTACTTTCAATTTACCTGCTAAATTTAGGGGTGAAACTATATTGGTGCAGAGTTTGCGGGACGTCAAGTTACGCGACACCAGATTCACCGCCAAACTTAAAGGGAAAAGTGAATTGGTGTATAGGTCACTTGACATGTATTTTCCCGCTAAATTTAGCGGGGAAACTGATTTGCTCCTAAGGTCACGTGACATCTATTTTTCCGCGAATTTTAGCGGGGAAACTGAATTGGTGTATAGGTCACGTGACATTACGTCACGTAATCACGTGACACACAAATTGAATTGGAATATAGGTCATGTGACGTCAATCTTTCAGCTAAATTCTGAGTGTGAAACTGGATTAGCCTGTAGCTCCCGCAACGTCAGATCACGTGATATCAAATCTTTTTCCTAAATTTAGCGGGAAAACTAAGTTTCTGTATAGGCCACGTAAAATTCATTTACCCGCTAAACTTAGAGGGAAATGCACGGACGAACGGACAGACAGGTCGACTGACGGCCGGACGGGCGGCCAAAATTTTGGAATAGAAAGGTAGCGTTAAAATGCATTTCCTACTCTAAAACCGAAACGATGTGGCTGTCACAGTAAACACAGAGGAGATATGTATATTTTTGTCTGAAATTGGAAGCGATACTATGTGGCAATATCGGGATCGGTGTGCCTTTTGCGTAAAGATCGATGCGGTATTATTTATCTATGATTTTGACTGGTATGTCCTAAATGCATACGATGTAATATGCAATATATGACTCTCATAGAGTTTAGAACTAACGTCCAGGCGTAGCAGAAGCTACAAGAGTGAGTGTTCGGCTTTTAGCACCTCAGGCAAGCACGCGCGTTCATAGTGCACGCGTCGTTTAGGGCAACATGTTTGTGCTTGTAGTTTTGGCTTCGTTCACGCATTAAAGGGATACTGAACCAAGGAATTTGGTGTCCATAATAAGTGGCGCACGTTCTTTCCACGAGCCAGCAGCCGCCGGTGTGCGCGAGCACACGCAACAAAAATGACGTCACAGACCTCCATTCGTGGTTGAGATGACAGCGAAAGGTATGGGCTTCGGACCAAAGGAGAATAAAGACAAGTTTTTCATCTACACAGTGGTGCCTGGTGTAAAAAGTAAGCGATGAATTGGTCTAACAAGCACGTAGCTTTCACTTGTAGAGATGAAAAGCCTGTCTTTATTCTCCTTTAGTCCGAAGCCCATGCATTTCATTGTCCTCTCAACCACGAATGGAGGTCTGTGACGTCATTTTTGTTGCGTGTGCTCGCGCACACCGGCGGCTGCTGGCTGGTGGAAAGAACGTGCGCCACTTATTACGGGCACTAAATTCTTTGGTTCAGTATCCCTTTAAGTGAAACGAACCAAGACCGCAGCGCTGCACTTTCTACGCCACCAATAAGGGGTAAGCGCAAGGCGCAAGTTGGACCCAATTGTTTGATTGGCATTCGACTGAAACTCCCGTTAGATAAGTGACAACTTAAGTCCAAACCTAACGCTAGCGTAGTGTTTGGCTGCGTCCGCCGGTGTGTTAGAAACACAAAAAGTATAGTTCATGATCTTGACCTCCATGCGTTTAGTTATTAACTTAATTTCTAAGTGCGAGACGGTTGGATTACCGCCACAATCAAAATAAAAAAGCAAACAAACATTGAAACGAAGCTTGTGCAGTCATAAAAGGCCGACCAAAGCCAAGCGTTTTGTCGAAGACTTCGATAATACGTGTTGAGGGAACACTTAAAAAAACTTAGATTTTATGCCGCTGTGTTCGTCATGGCGGCATACCTGATGCTTTCATCTTCTCACAGTTCGACCGTTTCGACTTTGGTTGTTTTCTGTTCAAATTTTTGGGTTTTTCTACCGGCACGATAAATATTAGAGCAGTTTCATTGTTCTTGAATGATAAAAAGTGATCGGAAGCATAACTAAATCAGCAGTTTTTGAGCATATAACATTGGAAAACATTCCTCGTCAACTGCCATCTTCGGGATTCACTTCGGTGTTCCCCTAAAGAATTGAAATCAAAAGGTCAGAAGTCTCTTCAGAATTAGAGTGCGTCTTCTGAGGTTTTATCTTCTTCAGAACTTGCCATGAAGAAGCTGTACCTGGCCAATTCCTAAGCGACAAGAAGACACACCATGAGGGCTATGTATTTTTATATGTCCACGATGTTTGGCGCGGGCATATGCGTCTGGTTTGTAACGTTAAATGTCTGAAGATCTGTACGCGAGTTCCCGTCTGCCTGCTAACGTAGCACATAGGTCTACGTGCTTCGGCGCTGTCGCCGGAAAATGTAGTCCACGTGAACGCGATTTGACAAGCAACGAGAGAAACGACAAAAACCCGCTTCGTTGTGGCTTGGTCAATCGCGCGAGGAGGCAAGCCGCATGAAAGCGGCTGGAGCAAGTGACTAATGCTATGGGCGACGTTTTCTAGAAATCCAAAAACCGAGCGACGCAACGAGCGTTGGTGAGAAGTCTCCATCGCTCGTCGCTGACTCTGGTCGCTGTTGCCGTCGCTGGTCTCGTCGATCGCTAAATCGCTTACATGCGGTTCAGCCTTAATAGTACTCTGTTATGCATGCTCCGTAAGACTCCCCATTCTACTCGAGGACCGCAGAGCGTGGGGGCCCCCTGCTCTAAAACTCTCTATTGTCACCACCTTGCTCTCTTCATTCCGGTAAATGACCCGGCTGTCGCTTTACGTTCTTACGCAACAATCTTCCTCGTGTTTTTTTTTATTTTCCCGGAAGTATTACGCGGCGCTCTGTCACGACCAAGTCTCTAAGAAACATTCCGCCTGCAATCTTACGTATTTCCGCGTCTTGCAGGTCAAACAGGTCAGAGAAAAAGTAAGCAACGCATAAACAAGAATGCATACAACAGAAAACAAACAAACATATATGCATCGTTAAACGTTAGTGGTTTCTTTGCGCTTGGGTTCAGGTTTCGGCGCGGTAGCAGGAATTCTTCCCAGCGCTCGGTAACCGGTTCGCAGGGATTATTAATGCAAATTATGGCACAAATTGCGGCAAAAAGAAAAAGCAGTACAGCTTCGGCTTGAGCTAGCGATGCCTGTCAACTTCACCACGAATTGCTGGATATGTTCGACTGAGTGCTGAAATTAAAATTTCAGGATTGCATGGTATTACTTGCCGGATAGATTTTTTTTCTTGTGTGGCATAGGAACCTTATGCTCTGTGGATGCCCAGGAATAGGAGTCAACAAGTCATCTACTGGGATTTTTTAACCCTGGAGAAGGGGAGAACGGAACGAAAGGATAACATGAATCTCCTATCTTTTTGTAAATTCGTATTTGTGCATTTCTTTTTCACCCATTCTAAAAGGTTAAAAAATGTTAATTTCTTAACCATCTCTTCGGCATCCTTGCATTAACTTTATCTACAGGTAATTCGTTAACAAGAAGAGTTTACGAAGTTCATTTCTCAAGAAAAAAAGTTAAATACTCATCACTCCAGGCTCAGTCTTCATCCAAATCAAGTGCTGGCGCTCCCGAGTAAATACTGAAGTTTTGAAGCTTGCCGTTAATTGATTCATTAATTATAACTCACCAGCGACAAAAAAAAAATGGCGGCGAACAAAGCCTGCGAATGCATAAGGATGAATGACATCGATTATCTAGACGAATCGAGTGTCCGTTTTTCTCCTTAAACATGTTTGAAGACCATTTATAAGCTTTTAAATATATATATCTGTAAGCTCTGAACTTATGGCATTTGTTTCTATTCGCTAGCGGTATATTTATGCTAAAACGTATCGTTTGACAGTGCGTAGGATACTTTTGCGATGTCACAAAACCTAAAAGCGCATAATTGTTAGAGTGTTTTCGCTGAACCCTTTACACTTTAAATGCATGCACGAATATTTTCCTAGGAACATTTGGAGTGCCAATTGGCCTGGTTGAATGATTTACAAGTCCAGTTTATAAAATGACTATTAAATGATTTATTAATAATATTGATTCAGATTTTTTACTTGACCCCATTAGAAGTTGTGTCTTTGACAGATTTAGCGATGACAAATTATATTTGAAGACTCGTCGTTAGCGCGATTCTTTTTGAAAATATAAGCGGCTTTGATGTTATGCGCACATGGTGGGGAAGAGGTCACCCACAAAATTCTTGGAGTCGACAATTATCTAGAAGTTTATTTGTGCTACGACTAAAGCCTGACAATAAAAACGGCCGAGGTACTTGATAAATCATAAAATGGTTTATCCGCTTGAGCAACGTTATCACATATCAGTGACTGGTCCAATATTAATGACTGTGTTTGCTAACCCTTTCATTCGACGTTATATAGTGATTACGTTTCGTTAGTGTTAGTAATGCAGGCAACGTCGCGCTTCGCGTAGTTACAGCAGGATTTATATGTTTCGAACAGAGGAGTGCATGTTGTTAATGAGATATTTTAGTTTAAGAAAAAGTAGAACATAAATTACCAAAACAAAGAGAAAGCACTTCCTTTTTATTTTTTATTTTTTGAGCGTGTTGGTGGTTTTTGAACAATAACAAAAAGGCGAGACACAGGGTACGACACAAACCGGAGAATCTTTAAACTTCAACCACATTTATTTTTGACTTGTTGATTTTTTATTGCGTTTTCAGTGCGTTTTTGTGTTTCTAAATGAGAGAGAGTGCAGTAGTGTTTCCGTCTTCCAAACTTTTATTCTTTCAAACTAAGGTGTAGCATGATTTCAGCGTTTTTTTTTACTACACTAAAACTTGAGAGCTGGTTCCCCGTAATAAACGGAGAGCAACTCACGAATAAGAATAAGCCAGTAAACCGCATATATTCGTCAATGTAAACTATGTGTTCACGATTGATTAGTAGTTATTATCAGTGTCAGCTCATTAATATCCTGACAATAAGACGAATAACACCACAGGCAGAGTTTACTTAACTCACAGAGGCCATAGGTGACCATTAGTTCAAAGTATTCTAGAGAGTTAGCAAACTGTCCTGTTCTTTCAGGAACGCCTGCAAGTCGGCTTCCCCACGATGCATCTTGAATCCCAAGTTTGCAGTGAAGGGCGTCGTCTGGCAAAAAAAGATGTCTGCAATTTTTCACGGTTTGTAAAAAGGCGGCACTGTTTGTGGCTTGTAATACAATCTTTTATAGATATATGATGTACAGATGTGGTAATTTGTGAATTGTTATGCGATTTGTTTTTGTCTGTGTTTAATGGAATGTGCTGGCGTGCAGTGAGTCATGCTGCTGTTTTTGCTGATTTTGGTATCATTTTATTTTAAACACCGATAAATAATGTGCAGTTCAGTGTGCAATATTTGTATTGAAATATATGTTTCTTTGTAATGGGAGTGTTGAACGTATTTAACAGATGGCTAAGTGACTCTTGAGTCTTAACATAATTTTTTTAGTTTTTAAAATTTTTTTTAGTCGGTGAAGTGTTTCTTTGCTGCCAAGATGTGGTATCAATATTCTACAAAAAAAAACAAACCAACAACAACAACAACAAAAAAACAACAATAAAGAGCATTACACCGATTGCCGGGCTCCATTTACAGGTCCCGTTGACTTTGGCGAGCCACAATACAATGTAATGTATAAAATGAAGCATTAAAAACATATTATAAAGAAATATTGGTGTTTCATGTGGATCGTAGTGTAGTATGCACGAAGTAACCTAAACGTGGCAGTGCGTGCCATGTAAACTCAAGGAGCCTTGCTTGCAGACTGATTTCTCGACCTCTATTTGCGACTCGTTGGGTAACCTGACACATGCATTTACTGAAATATGAATATTTGATTGATACTACTTGCTCGATATGCCCAAAACCCACCGAATAGATTTTTCCCCAAAAGTAAGAAAGGGATTCTTGCTCAGTTCGCACTAAATTATGGGCACGTCCTGCCAACTCATCTTGTCCATGCAGTATCTGCCACGGGACACAGAGGAGATAGAGAGAGAGCAGCGAAGTTGCTTTGCAACCACCCCCGTCCCCTCCTTCCCGGTTCGCCTGCAGCCGGACCTATACAGGATGTTCTCAGCAAACTTTTTGGCGCCGCGGAAGGTTTTGCGAATGGTCTACCGAGGCGTTTATGACCAACTTACGAGTCGCAGTTTTCGCAGTAGATGGAGCGGCGGTAGTTGACAAAGAGCTTTCGGGTGGCGCAGTCCACGTTGGGCTCGAGCAGGAAGGAGCGACTGAAGCGACGCTGCAGACAGCCGATGAACTGCTCCCACTGTACCAGGGACGAGCAGAGGGGCACCAGGCAGGCCACGCAAAGGGCCAACACCAGCACGGAGGTCCTCATTCTGTTCTGGGTATGGAAAAAGGCTCTGCGAAAGTCACCGAATAAGATGCATTTCAGAGTAACGACATCTCAGCTATCTCGTTGCTCGAAATTATTGTTGAAAGCTATCTAAAGTTTTATCTGAAATTGCCGGAAACGCTTTTTCGTCCTCCAGAAATATTAACATAGTCAACGACAAAGGCGAACAATATCGTACGAGCTTCTCAACACCGTACTTAATGTAAAAAAAAAAAAAAAAGTTTCGAGTTGTAATCATTGCCCATTGCGCCCACTCTGTACTGGACAACAAAATGCCGGCTGCCACAAGACAATCCAAGAATGGAGCGCCGATATTCGAAGCGTAGCATACTTAGTGATATTAGGTTCTGCGTTTCAAGAAATCAGTTTGCCATCCTATAAATTAAAATACTTTGCTACTGGTGCGTTTGTAAATATGCAGTCACACTGATAATACATCATCACAGGGTGCGGTGCCCGCTGCAGATATGATGACATGATTATCTCCGGATACAAGCATATGTGAATGTTTCGAATGTGTCAGCCGGGAAATTATTCGGACTAAACTCAAAATAAAGCGACGTAGAAGGAAACAAAACACTTCAGCAGGCTAATTTGAGGAATTAAAACAGGAATTGAAGGTAAATGTCAATCTTTCAAAAACAAATTATATTAAGATAACGCTTCCTGAATTTATTCAAACTGATCCACAAAATGTTGGTGTTACCTTGTAAAAAAAAAGGAAGTACTGATAAAACTAGGAATAAAGTAATGGCAAAACAAAAAAAAAAACTAAACAAGCAGTTAGATGTTCTAAACGTTGAATGTCTGCGAGCCATAACTGGCCTTCAAAACCTACCAGGATTGAAGGACTTCGTAGGTACTGCGGTCTCCCGCCACTCAAAGCCGTCATCCAGGCGCGCAACGAGGGCCACAAAGTACGTCGACAGAACACAGAAGCGCGCGAAGACACCTCGCCCTCCCCCTATACCCATCAACTCCACACGCACCCCAACACGCACGACTACTGGTACCGTGGCGAGACGTCCTCCTCAAATTACCCGAGCCTCTCTGGTGGAAATGCAATACCAAGCACCACAAGGCAGAACGCAAAGTATTGGCATCTCCCTGAGACTAGACGAAAAACGCGGGGTTCACAGATGCAGCCCCGGACGCTGCCACCCGAAGAAACAAATTAGCAGTAATCTCACAACTCGGGAACTGCAAATGTGTGCACCAATACGACTACCAATCAAACTCAAGCCAGCTCAAACTCTCCGCGATTCTTCGTGCAGTACTTCAGGTGCGCGAATAGACTCGTCAGGGACTACGACAGGCTGGTGGACGTTTGGGGATTTACATAGGTGACCGGGAAACCATCAGCCAATTCAGCAATACCCCTGAGATCGGGACGCTCACTCATAACACCAAGAGCGCGAGTCTCAGGCTTCCTGAACGCCACCGAAGTAGAGATGAGTGTCGGCTGTGTGCCGGGACACGCGGGCGACATGGGCGACGTAGCCGCGCACGCGTTGGCGAGCGACAGCGTGGACGACAGCACCATCCCGGCATCCCAGAATGTGCCGCTCCAGACGACCCCAATCCGGCCACCCGCATTAGTGTTGCCCAAGCAGGACCGAAGACGCACTTTGGAGGAGCAAGTACCAACCAACAACCACCCATTTTCACAGCGACTATCACGTGGTGCCCAACTTCTGATCTATAAAGCACGCGCGGGAGCCGCGCTCACCGAGGACGCCCTGGTCAAATGGCAAACCTACCGGAGACGCACACATCGAATCCTTGTTGACAGCGAACACGACGATTAACAAGAGGGAGACGAAGCACCTCCAGCAGTCGTGTGCTGGACGTGCACGACAGGGGCTCGGCCGACCGCCGAACACATGCTATGGTCATGTCCTGGCTTTCACGAACTGAGGTATTGTTACCTCCAACTTCACATGACGTCACTGCAGGAATGGACCACCCCTGCCAAGGAGAATCAAGCCCGTGACAAGCTGCTTTCCCTCTGGGAATTCGCACGCCAGGCGGGTTTCAACTCTCGAATGGGACGTTGTTTTATTACCTTACTACCCCATCTAGGCCAAAGCGCCATTCTGTTCCTAATAAAAATTTTCAAATAATTCAATAGAAATTTCGAAACCGAAGACAGAAAAAAAGCACAAACGTTCAATCAGTACCTTGAAGGTGTATAGACCTTTGCAAAAAGAGCTCTCTGGTCGCCGCCATTTTGCGCATCGAGCGACCCCTGTCAGCCAGAAATTTTAAACTCCCACCTGAGCTGTGGAAACCAGGTCAGCGTGGCTCCCCACCTGCATTGTGCATTCGAAGTCCTCCGGCTTTTCTTGGAAGTTTTTACTTTATTTGCCTGCTTAGGCTGCTTATTACCCTTTGTGTGTTATCTTCCACTGTGAGAACCAGAGAGTACCAGGGCTCGTTGTCTGAACGGCCTTCGCAGGAAACGAACGAACAAAGCGAACGTCAAGCAGCACGTGACGCAAGCAGTTAAACGTTCTTCGATGATTATTCCCGTTTAGATAACCTCCAAAAAGCCTCCCCGGCTAGGTTCCGGGTTTCGCGAAAACAGCTGATAGGGTTGGTTCCGGGGTGTCGGGACGGAATAGACAAGTTCGTTCATTTGCTTTGAAGCTGTGCGAAAAAGCGGCTCCCTTCAAAACGTGCCCCAAAACAAGCCGGATTCCGTCCGATCGTCGTGAAGTGACCACCGTCGATAGTCACTTCACGGTATGCTGTGTTATCTGAGACCTTCCTCAAATCCTGTTAGGATAACGCGGCACCGTAGGGTACGTACACAACACATTTTGTTCGATTGATGAGACTCGTTGAATTTCATGTTGTGGGTAGGGAATATGTATACAGTTCGGATATCCTGTGTGGTCAAATATTTTCGACGGTTAAGCCCTTTGTTAATGGACACGGCTGAGTGTATGGTGCCGTAAAAAGATCAACATAATATGAAAGAAAGATTCCAGTTGCATTTGTTCTGTCACGCATGGACTCACCAAAACAGCTTTCATTTCTTTGTTCTTGCTCCCAAAAATAGTACAGTGCATTCTTAAAAACCCCGAGAAATTCTATCCGCCATAGAGCAGAAAATCAAACGTAAAACGCGGCAATTTAGCCTCCACCAGCGTTCAGAAGTACGCCTACGCAGGCTGCCACAGCCCATTGACTAGAAAACCCATAGCCCAGCGCAGTCGGGCAACACTGACGTACCCTCTCAAAACCAGGGACGCGCGCTGTAAATCGCTTCGTTCGAGACTGCCGCTGGAAAGGTCTGTTTAATGCAAAAAAAAAAAAAAAAATGAACACGAGGTGCAACACCAGTTAGTGAGCTTAACAAGGTTTTGTCCATTACAGTGGAAGGGATTTTGACCATGATACGTAAGCTGAAAGTTAGGAAGAGCTCTGGTCCGGATGGTCTCCCAAATGTTTTGCTAAAGAAACAATGAAGACGATTTTATTTAATTTCTTTTTAAATGGTGTTTTTATGCTTCTTGGGAACATAGCATGCTGCCCAATTTTTGTAGACATTTGTGACGCGTATTTCTGTGCCTACACAGGAAGTAAAGAAACCGGAACTGAACATTCTCCATTCTCGTTTCCGGGCCTCCACAAACGGAGGTGACGTAGGGATTGATGTCAAGTGTGAATAGTCGGTATCGGTAGTATTTAGGAGATCGAGACTCTGGTTACCGCGGCGGGTTATAGCAGCGCAGTGGCGCGGTGGCGCGGTCGTTTCGTCGAATCTGTCAACATGGACGGCAATGCCGCTCTCGCGAGCGAGTTCGAGCTTCCGTTCAGCGACCCAACAAAAACGGAACGGGAGTACGTGTGTGGCGGCCTCCGCCATCACCCGACGGAGACCGCCCAGCCAGTAAGCGGCCCGCATGCCGAAGTGCCCATAGTTGCTCGTTGGCCGTTTCGCGTCTAGCGTAGCAAAGGAAAAACAAAACAAAAAAAAATTTGCTGCTTTATTTACGTTGTAGTAACCATTTCCGGTCTCATTTATACTTTTCATGGTTATTCAGGCGGAAATTAGAACAGTATTTCTAAAAATCGCGAACCAAAACGTGACCGAGGGCACGTCTTTCGTTTCGACCAATCGCTGACGCGTCTCTTGTGACGTCGCGCTTCTTGGCCCCGCATCGGTCACGTGAGTTCCGCTTCTCCTGGCTTCTTCCGCAACTCTCGGGGCGTCACCCCAGTCGATCCCGGTACGATTGTTACCCCGACTGTTTGATTGATTTTACGCGGCAGACAAATGCCAGTTTCGGCTGAAATTTGAGCAACGTGGCCAGAGTCGTGCCTGGAACCCAGTTCAATAGCCAAAAAGATGACCGAAATTGCCTTCATTGTCCCTTCAAAGAACTACGACCAGCAAATGGCTGAATTTTTAGCTAAGATCTGTCATGGTTTGTTATTCACCGGCGAAGTCCTTGACCGCTAGAACATAGCTCGAATGGTACCGATTGACAAAAAAGACGATACATTTTTAGTGCAAAATTATGGGCAACTGTCAGTGACTTGTAGTTGCAAGTTACTAGAACACGTGGTGGACGGTTATATTAAAAGCTTTTTTTTTAACTCAGAAGGGTACTTATCGCCTAAACAGCATGGATTCAAAAAGGTAATAGACAGTTTTAGTATAGCGTTGCTGGATCTTACGTACGCAGTACGCAATAGTATTGCGTACGCTAAAAATGACCTGCTGGGAGCGAATTTAGTTGTGCGTTACGTTTTCGAGTGAACACCGAGTATGATCTTGATTAAATTTGCTAGAGCCGTAGAATTCCGCGTGCTTATAGTGCAACCATGCTCCTGGAAAGAAATATTGAAAAAGAAAAAGTGTCCAATCATTTTATTTCAGATTAAACCAAGCCACAGCTGCCTCGTCAAGCGCGCTTTTCTGCGGGGTACAGAGGCTACGAGTACGAGTGCGTAGCCAAATTTGATCACGG